AAACCCGTTGAAAGGAGACCATCAACACCTATAAATACTGTGAGGCGTGGTACAAAACTCACCTCCGACGATGAAATCTTGTTTGATTTTGAAACGTCAGGACAATACAATTATGGTTCCCGAGATCGTCTCTTCTTCTCATTTATGTCCGGGGACGCGCATCTTCGCTTCTATCATATATATATGAGAAGATAAGGCGATCGCAGGAACCATAGGTATATTTGCCTGACGTTTCGAAAGCAAACAAGCTTCCATCATCGGAGGTGGTTTGCGTACTGCACGTCACAGTATTTAAGGGTTTTCTTTCGTGCTGGCGTGTCACTGACTTCCAGCGCGCTGCATCACAAGGCCTGACGATTGTTGTCATGGCGGCATCGGTTTCTCCTCCTCCGCCTTTGTCGGGTGTGGGGAGGGGGATGGCGTCGGGGTGACCGCGGCCATTGCTCTTGTTTACATTGTCCGTTGTCCGCCCTACACGTATCTCGCCTTCCTACCCCGTTCGCGCCTGCCCGTAACCGCGTGGACGGTGGTTGTCACGCCAGTGTTGACGTCGGGCTGGGGATTCCTGTCACTGTCGCGGGTTCTCGTCTCGCCGTCCCGTTCAAACCTGCCCGTAACTGTGTTGACGGTGGTTGTCATGCCAGTGTTGACGTCGGGCTGGGGGGGGGGGCCTGGCACTGTTGGGCGTTCTCACCGACTGCTCTCGTCTGCCCGCGTTCGCCGCCGGTTGTCCCCTGGTTTCGTTTATTCCCGACGTCTGTCTATGCCCGTCCGTGTTCCCGCTTGGTCTGGGTTTGGTTACTGTCCTCTCTGGCCTGACGTCTCGTCGGTAGCCCTGACTATTGAACTTCACCCGTAGGGCTTGGTAGGCAGCCGGTAAAGTTACGCAGCGGTTGATTGAGGTAGTTGTGGTGTGCCAGGCTTCGAGCGTCTCCCTGACCGTTTGATCGCTCCCTTGGCCCAAGACTTCGGCGTCTTAGAAGGCGAAGGCGTGGCCAAAAGCTGCACAATGTTCTGCCACCAACGAGAGCTGGTCCATTCTTCGTACCGCTCTTGCGTGCTCGTCCATACGGGTCTGCAATCTCTTCCCCGTTTCTCCAACGTAGTTTGCCTCGCAGGAACTACACGGGATCCGATAGACGACGTTGGCAGTTTCGCCTCGTGGCAGAGGCGTTTTTGGCCTCATGACCAGACGTCTAATTGTCGCCTCTGGTTTGTGGGCGATGCCGATACCCAATGGTTGCAAGATGCGAGCAACTGCCTCGGAAACGTTCGCAATATATGGCAGCGCTCGCCAGACTTTCGGCTGATTTGCCGTTGACTTTATTGTTGGCCTGGATAGTCTGCTGCGTTCTATAAAGCTGCGGGGGTAACCGTTGGAGGTGAACATCCGCCGTAGATAGTGGAGTTCGGCTACCTTGTCGGCCGGTTCGCTGCAGTGAGTATCAACTCTCTTGTAGAGAGATCGAACACAGCTTCGTTTGTGACACATCGGGTGATTGCTGTGGTAGGACAGGACTTGGAGAGTGTTAGTGGCCTTCCTGTAGACCGTCGTTTTTAGGCTCCCGTTGACCTTGCGATGGACCAGAACGTCTAGAAACGCGATCTGATTGTTGTTCTCTGTCTCCATGGTGAACTGAATATCGGGAAGAACAGAGTTCAGTAGTGCGTGGAAATTCGAGACCATATCCCGTTTGAGAACGACGAAAGTGTCGTCCACATACTGCGCCCAAAATTTTGGCTTGTACCTTGCGAACCCCAACGTCTCCAACTTTTGAAGAACAGCTTCAGCAATGAAACCGGATAGTGGTGAGCCCATTGGCGTACGTTTGATTTGCTCGTACACCGTCCCTTCAAATGTGAAGAACGTCTGGAGGCAGTATTTAAGCAGTTGCACCAGGTGCCCCCGCCTAAGAGTATTGTTTGACTCCGTGTATTGGCTGTCGAGGAGGTCGCTGACAGTTTCGACTGCCAAATCCTTTGGGATCGAGGTGAAAAGCGAGGTTACATCGAACGACACCATGACCTCGTCTGTGTTAATTTGCAGGCCTTTCAGTCTTTCCAGGAAATGGACGGAGGAGCGGACCGTCGTGTCGGAGCTCGATGTGAGGCAGTTCAGGCGTCGGAACATCCATTTGGCCAGGTTGAATGTGGGTGTCCTGCGTAAGGATACGATGGGACGAAGTGGGGCACCATCTTTGTGTATATATATTTATTGGCAGAAGGGCGATACCGACAAAGACAAGGGAGGCTGGAATGGCCATTTCTGGCTTATTAGCCGTCGTCAGTCAGTCATATCCAATCCCGAAGTGTAGAACACCTCCATCATTGTATATTCGCGGTCGAAACCGACAGGGAAACGAGTCCGTGGCTTAGTGGTTAGATGCGTTGGACTTCGAAGTAACTGGTTGCAAGTTCGAGCCCCAGGTTTTCCACAACTCGAGGTTGGGTATCATTGGCCGACGACGACTAATGAGCCAGAAATGGCCATCCCAGTCTTTTTTGTCTTTGTCGGTAATGCTATTTGGCCCGCGAATATCATGCGCCGCTGTGCGGCTGTTGGCTGGGCTCCATAAAGATCCCGTAAGGCACAACGGAACGGGTGAGCTCCGTAAAAGCATTTGGTGAACGCTCCTTTATCACAACGGGAACTACTTCTGACGTGATCCATATACACAATGAGATGTTTTTATTAGACGACATTACGTAGGGGTGGTCGGTGGGAGCGATTATTCTGCGCGAATACCAAATCCGTTTTACAGACAAATCAGACTTTCCAGTTGCCCATTGGGACGATTTCAACTCGAGCCTTACCCTTTCTGAGCAAGTACTGCGTACTTCAGACCACTGAATTATGCATTGGTCAGAGGAAGAGATGATCGCTAAGAATCAACCGCATAGATACGATGATTTGACCACTACTGAGTTCATACCTTAACTCAGTTAAGGAGCTATCAATACTGTTATCCGGCGTCTGTATTGCATCTAACGGGCTGAACTGTCAGGGCTTTAGGTCAACGAGGTTATTCTGCCAGCGTAGAATGGTTTGAGCAAATCAGAGTATTACATTTTGATAAATAACGTAGGCTAAATGAATATTGAAATTCCTTTACAAATTAACGGTAGCATATGTCAGATGAAAACAACCGAACCACAAAATAGGTAGTCTGATGATTTCAAGACAATCAGTTACCGAGAATCACTTTAGCTAAAATCATATAAATAAACTTTTAAATAGAACCTTTTTAGTGCTAAAACTTGGTATGTTCTACTTCCATGCAAACAACTAGACAAATATGAGCGAAACTGTCAAAATGCTGTTCAAAAAGTAGACGGTTTTATTATCGTGTAACGAGATGTATTGATTCGCTAAATAAATTTCCCCAATCCTGCATCGATTATTCCTCATCATTGTTATGAAGTGACAGAATACCATTGATGGGGAGTCGTGAATATGCAAAGCATCAATAAACCGCGTCGTTTTTGTCAGTTTTAAAGTTATACCGTTCAAGCTGCGCCTTAAATCACTCCATTTTCGTGTCAAAAAGAATTTTCATTGCGTCGAGTTAAATTGAACTTTATTCATTATTCGAGCCATGAAGTTATTTCTGCCGCAGAATATCGAAGGTGCGAAAAGTGGTTAATTAGGCGATATGAGTCTTTATCACTGACTTTTGACGACCCCATAAATCCGAGCATATTTTACATTAATCTGGTATAAACATTTTTTAAATTATACTCACTTTGTAGACAATTGCATCTTTAACTTTTTGACCAGCTAAACGGAATATTTTGGTTTGCAGTTTGAGATATTAAAGATCATGTTACATCTATTTAAGCAGTATGGCATTGCTCTGGTTCCTGCTGCTTCTCATGAAATGTTCAACGTGGTCCATATTTCTGTCAAAATTTATGAGCGTTATAATTTACGAATGATCTATGACTCTCTTAATAGCACAGAGGAAAGTTCTTATTAGATGGAAACAGTACGCCGTGTAGTTTGGAAACTCCAAACGCCTGAGTAACGATAGATGGGGGAAAAATTATTCGTGGGCTAAAAAAACTTTCGAACAGGAAGGTAACCCTACTTCGGATAGGAAATCTGAAAAAAACTATAATTGCTCACAAAACCAGACTAAGAGGGGATTATCCTGCCCATGTTTTCTGTAAAATGTCTGGATGAATGAAGCCGTTGGAAATCAGAGAGTGGACGCATGCAAATGAAGTCTTCATCTTGACAGTGTTTGATTTTCATGGGCAGTCAAAAAGGCACGCATAAAAAAGTCGGCTTCCTTGTGCGACTGTTGCATCTTGAAGGTTTTATGCATGACTATTAATTTAAAAAAGTCTTCCTACTAATCCATTTAGTTACTATTTAGTAAAACACCTATATTACTGGGCCAAAAAATTTCGACTCTTTTTATGTAACGGCTAGAAGCTCCTAACTTGTAGGCGCAGAATGTCATGCCCCGATTTATTCTGCTGGTAATGGTTGCAAATGGATATTGCAAACGTATTATACCGTACGCCCAACATAGGTACTAACTAAAAGCCCAAAGATGTGTTTCGTCGATATTCTGCCGCTTGGCAACACAGCTGCAAGGAATATGGCTCCTCAGTGGGTTCCCCAGTGTCCCCTATGCGGTTTCTGGTATACAAACGCCAGAGAAAAACCAAACCAATAATTTCATAAATCGTTTAGCGCAAAGCATGGAGTTAAGTCTTTAAGGCATACTTTTTGTTCTCGGTCCCGAACTTCCAATAAACATTCATGTCAATAACAATCAGCTACTGTGGAATAAACACTCTATGCCCATTCCACACAAAGGAGTAACACGAGTAGTATGAAATGCACGTGGCAAACGTAATATACAGCACTTCCGATATAGGTGCGAACTGAAAACTAAATACTATATATATATATAACAGCGAGGAGGGACGACAGAGAATGCGGGTAGATTGATACAGCACTGTTTCGGGCTTATCTTGCCTTCATTCAGCCAATCATAACCCTGACCACCAGCAGCTGAGACCAGAAACACAACCATGCGCACAGACGCACCTGGCGCAGTCGGTCCACCACTGAGGCCTACCAGATGGGTCATAAGCACTTCATCGAACCGAAGTTCATCAGTGGTGGACCGACTGCGCCAGGTGCGTCTGTGCGCATGGTTGTGTTTCTGGTCTCAGCTGCTGGTGGTCAGGGTTATAATTGGCTGAATGTAGGCAGAACAAGTCCGAAACAGTGCTGTATCAATCTACCCGCATTCTCTGTCGTCCCTCCTCGCTGTTATTATGACTTGGCCGACTTCGGCCTGGTAATTGGTTGCCTGTTCGTGACCTTTGCCACACATACGGAGCTTGTTTGCTTTGTGAAGCCAATAGATCGGTGTGCGCCCATTCCTGACTGATATATATATATATATATATATATATATATATATAGTTTTCAGTTGAATTCCACGGCAGATGCAAGGCAACATTGCGTCCCATCGTAAGGAGCCTAATCGCTTGGTTTAGGAACAAATTTACGGACGCATATACTTAATATATCCAATGTTTCCAAATCAACAATAACAATATATCAGACATTAAAATTATGAGAGGATTATGTATTATTCATTACCAGGCCGAGGCGACAAACAGAGGACGGTGTCTTAGCCTTTATTTCCTGTTAACGCTAAAATGTGCAAACAGTTAGCATCTCGGTAGTTGGCGAGACCAGTAAAGGATTTACGGTAGAGCATAAAGACATAACGCTGTCGTCAGGGAGTATGGTTGTTCTTACTTTAGGCTCAGACTCCTTAAGACCGTTTAAAATGACACGCGGTTTTTTAACAACAACATGGTGAATAAATCGCTTTTTTAAACGTCTTTGCCGTAACCAACTTCCTGCTAATCGCGAGAAATTCCTTTGTGAAAGAGCATATTCGCATTCACACCTACCACAGTTACTCACATGATTCTTCCTTATTTCGGATCTTGAGGCGGCCCATGCCGGTTCCCCTTTCGAGCATACAAACCCGTCTCGTACGAGAAATGCTTACACACGGCTGAAATGACTAGTTATTATACATTCGATGCCTGGTGCGTTAATTCGTTTGCTTTCACTATGAATAGGCTAAGCTCATGTCTGTAGTTCTGAAAAAGCTAGCTAACTGTGCACCTGGCATATCTGAATTATCATCGAATTATGCTGCGCGATGATCAGTTTTACAGTCACAATTAATGAGTCTTTCCGAAACGAAAACGCGTTTCGGAATTTCAATTGACGTTTCATGGGTCAGCATGCATCGAAACCCGTCTCATACGAGTAATACGAGTTATTATGCATTCCAGTTCTGGGGGGTTCAATAGTTGACGTGAAACTTGGGCACGCTGAGCACGTGCTATTTGCTGTTAAACACTTGGCAAATGTGCACCTGGGTCTCTGTGGCGTCAGTATGGCCCACAGGCAAGAATCACACTTCCGTGGTGTGCTTTTGATGTGTTTGCCTATCTCTTTGGCCTCGATGCCAACTTGTGTTAGTAAATTTAGAGAGCTAGAGTTTCAGGAGGTGCGCTAACTCATGATGTGTTGACTGAGATTCTGGAATGCTTTATTCACTCAACAAGAATACTTAAGTATGGTTGCGATATCAATCACTGCGCAGCATGGCCCGATAATAATTCAGTTGCTTTAGGATGCTGACTTACGAACTACCTTCATTCTGGCCCCCTGCAACAAGTTCGCTCTGTAAGAAATGACTACATATAGAGCATGAGTTTTCTCATAGATTGATGATGTTCATTTGAATTCGAACATATTTCATGGAAAACATGCATTCAACTATTCATGCTTCTACTCATTTGCAACGGCATGTGAATTTCGAAATTCTTCGAAGACTGACAAAGTTTATCAAAACTGAATTATACTCGTCCTTTAATAAAACAATTTGAATTAGACGTACGATTCTACATTCACTCCCACCCACTAAGTAAAAGAATGTAAAATATTTGCATCATTTGTAAATACATCGAAGATCAATGAGATAATATCATACTTTATACGTAGTCCTTTTCTACAGAGTAAACCATTCGCAGGCGGCCAAGAAGACTCTCTTCTTATAGTCGACATTCCGGGGTAACTTA